ATCAATAAATTGCCAGCGATGGGCAGGAGCGATAAAAGCAGAAATCTCCCCTCGGCTCCCCCCCGCTTCCCTTCCCCTCCCCAGGGCAGCGGGGTGCCCCTCTGTGCCCCAAAGCTGGAGGGCAGAGCCAGCAGCAGCCCGGCTCTCCCACGAGCATTCCCCTTTTGGTTCACGGCAGCTCAGCCGGAGCGACCCCAGGCTGAGCCCAAGCAGGCGCAGCCCAGCAAGGCTCGAATTTAAACCCTCCTCACTCCTTTGTCGTCCCCAAGGCTGCCCTGATTACTCGAGCACCCGGGACGGCAAAGCCGGGATAATCTCCTTAGCCCCTTTGGAGAGATTTCCCTTTGTGAGCGGAGGTGAAGAGTGGAGATGCTGCGTGTTCGCAGCTTAAGACTCTTCCCAATCGGCTCCCTCCATCTTATCGGAGCGGTGCCATCACATCATTTCGCTAGTTGAGTTGTCAGGATTTATTCCTTCCGCCGCGCGCTCGCCGCTTCTAAAAACAGCAGCTGGGGCACGCGGCGGGGCTGGGCCGGGGTTGCGGGGGGAGTTGGGGCTTCTCCAGCTCGGCTTTCCCTGGGCGGGAGCGGGAGAGCCGCGGGAGGTTGGGTACCGATGGATGGATGGATGGATGGATGGATGGATGGATGGATCCATCCTCCCTCCTTCTTGGGGGTTCCCATGCCATGAGGACATCCTGCACATGCTGGGATGGGACCAGAGACCACCAGTTCATCCCCATACCCCCAGGCTCTGCATCATCTGCTCATTCGGGGGCTGTGCCCAGCGTTGTGGCCCCCCAGGGATGACAGCCCCCAGGACCGGGTGCAAAGCGCTGTGTTAATAGGAGCAGCACGGTGCAGCTGATGCTGGGACAGTCTCGTGACGCCCCGATAGCAGTATTTGTCCAGATAGTATCCAGGCAGCTGCAAACATTCTGGGGACCTCCAAGCCCGGATCCCTGCCGAGGGGCAGAGCTGGTTCATTGGGATTTGATTAAAGTCACGTGGATGCAGTTGGGGCGAGGGGATGCGGGAGCTGCTTGGGATGGGACGAGGGGGTTTTCCCCGGGACTGGTCGGGCACCCTTTGCTCTTCCCTCCTGCTCGCTCACACTGGGAAAGCAGATGCAGATGCATAGATGCAGCCGCACCTCTGGACCATCCAGGAGCAAACCTGGGTGGCCACAGGAGCTGGTCCACCTCGGCGCAGCTCCCAGCGGTGCATCCTTGCCCGGCCGCGCTGTTTATTTCCTCGGCTGTAAGGGTGCCATGTGTCACCTTGCCAGATGGGCTCTTGCAGAAGTTCATCTTCATCACACCCTGGTCCTGCATTCACCCCATGCCATGCCGGAGGAGGATGCAGCCATGTTGCATGGTGATGCCCCACCAGCGCTGTACAAGCCCACAGGCTTTGTCCCTCCCCGCGTGCCCAGCCGGGACCTTCTCAGCCATTGATTGCCCCATGGGTGGCTGTGGTGTGATGACAGGATTAATCTTTGCTCTCCGGCACAGCTCAGCCTATTTCTTTGAAATCTCTCGATGGGGAGATAAGCTGAGGCACAGCGCCGGGCGAGCAGGCGCTGTTGGTCCTGGGGTGGGGGCAGGGAGCAGCCCCGGCGCCCCGTGCTTCGGCAGTAGGCAGAGCACCGGGGTCCGTGCAGTGCCGAGCAGGTGCACCCAGCTCGCCGGGGGCTTTTTCCCCTCCTTCCTTCCTTTCTGTCGCTTTTCTCTGCGACCCAAAGCAAACAGCCGTGTCCCTGCCCAATTTGGTTAATGATCTGGGAGATAAACCCTCCCGCGATAACGGCAGGGCACCGCCTGGCCAGGGACCGATGGCCAGATGAGATACCCGGGGTGATGTTCACCTGCTCGGGGGGGATCCTGCGGGGAGGGGACTTGCGCCCGTGGCCTTTGATCCTCACTGCTCCCTGGGGAGACTGCTGGGGGTCACCCAGGGCACCCCACGAGCTGCCACCGGCTCTTCCCAACCTCCCCAGGTTGCAGGCGAGGCGATGTGGCCGAATCCGGCACCATCGGAGCGCAGCGGTGGGGATCGCTCCCCGCTGCCGTGGTTGGCCCCATACGGGGACACAACTCTCTTGCTTTAGGCTTTGTTCCCCAAGTGCAGACAAGGGGAGCACGCAGCACCTCCCAAGCCGCCCCATGCCAGCTCGGCATCGTTTCCCCCGTGCCAGGGAAGAAGCGCAGCAATGCCACACGGTTAGCTTGGAAATCACCTTTTTCCTCCTCTTTTTTTTTTTTTTTCTGGCTGTGTCAATGTGGACACAGCCAGGTACCGCGGGGGCTCCGGCAGCATCCCTGGCCGGGCACAGGGACACCCATCCAGATGGAGAACCGCTCAGCACCGCTGGCTGGGGTTCACCACCGCCCCCTTTTTCAGGATGACGCTGGCAGATTGGGCCACCGATGGGTGCCGTGGCCATCGGGCACTGGTGGGGAGCGGGGCCGGCTCCGGCAACACTATTTTTGTCCCCCTGTCTGGAACGGTTTTCTCTTTATCAGCGCCTGCGTGTTTTCTCTGCTGGGGATTGATACACAGAAGATGAAGTGCTCTGACATGGGAAGTGTCAGGCGAACGCTCTTATCTCAGAGACATGGTCTCCTGACCCAAACGCCGCTGATTACCAGTGAGACAGGGGGAAGGGGGGGTAGAAAGGGGGGCACAGAGGGGAGGGAGGTGGCAGTTGGACTCCGTTCCCCAAAAGCAGCCAGGCTATACGGGGTGGCAAAGCCAGAGGGGAGCCACCACCGTTGGGGCTCTCCTGGGGATTTGGGGGTTTGCTATCCCCTCCCTGGAGCCAGGAGAGGGGAGACG